AAATTGTTTTCATGTTTTTGCCAGCTTGATTCAAACAGCAAGACACTGATTTGGTTTTAAAACTTATAGAATCATAACAAAGTCTGAAGGTTACTAGTTTACTGGTTGTTTTGGTTGTTTTTTTTTTTTTAACTTTATAACCGGGGGTTATATTTCTTGCATAAATATAAAGGAAAAAGGAAAAGAACAAAAGGAGAGAATAACAGATCAGATGAACCAGAAATACAGAACTGATAAGTCTGGAAGAAGACTATATTAATTTTAAGTCCTTTTTTTCCCCAGAAAAAGTGGAGCCTTTTACTACTCTGAGAATTTTTCATGGCAATTGCTGCACTGTCCACCCAACTATATTCAACTTAAAAAAATAGCACTTCAAGAATACATTTTAACCATCACTCATAAAATATAGTCTTTTCTCCTTTTCAGTGCTTTCTCTCATATGTCAAAGTCTCTGCCAGAAGTTCAAGGCCCTTCTCATTGAAAAAGGAAGAAGAGAATGCGACAGAAGCGAGAGCGAGTTTAGGGGGGGATGGAAAAAGGAAGAGAGAGGAACAGCCCTGACACAGCAGAATTGGGAAGGGTTCAGTGCCCTGTTGAAAGTGTGTAGAGGGAGCCACAGAAATCCATCAGTGTCCCAAAGGCCTGGCCAGATGGGGCTTAGATGGGGTTTATAGAGGAGGACACGGAGCTCTCCACAGTGGTTTGTGACGCAGCTCTGACAGACAGCACAAGGTCCCTCAGCTTGTGGGACAGGATCAAATCCATCTCCTAGTCTCTAGCTCCTTTCAAACACTAGATTATCCCCATGCAGTGCAATCTGAAGTCCTCCACTCTGACCAGTCCCATTCCTTCAGCCGCTTGGGTTTATTCTCTGGAGTTTGTATCCTGGAGTCCCAGCAGCAGCAAAAACAGCTGCCAAAATCCTGGGAATATCTGCCTTGGAATCTCAACTACTGTGTGAAGCTGCTGCTCTCCAGTTTGAGATTTGTGTTTGCAAAGGAAATCTGTCCAACAACAACATCGAGAGAGGAAAAAAGGAGGAAAAAGGGCTTTATATAACAGAGTTAACAGAGTTGTTGCAATAGTAACGTGTAGTTAACAGGCAACTTTTCCTCCTCCTTCTCTGCCCTCACCCCAACCTCCTCCTCTAACAGCAATTTCATTTGTTTTTGTTTCCAAGCTTCTTTTACTGGCCACTCACACAGACCCGCTCCCTTTGTCTAATTTGGATCTCGAACTTCCATGCAACAGACTCTTGCTGTAACTATAAATCTTTTTATGGCCCTTCTGCCTCTGAACTGTAAAAGCAATGCCACTGTAAGCTGCCTAAATGGGTCATAAATCCACTTAGTGCATTGAATGAGGAGAAAAGTTTTTAAGGGAAAGAAGGAAAAAAAAAAAGGCAAACTAAGGTGGCTGGAGGGACACAAGGGAAAAAAACCCCAAGACTGTATTTGCTAAACGGAACCAAAATAACAGGAGTCAAAGGGAAAATATGAATTTTTTTGGGGGGTGGGGTGTAAAGGATGAAATAATGCATCTTGGTGGTAAAACCAAACTGCCTCTGCAGGGCTGTGCAGTTCATTAACACTCAGCGATTTACGGGAGGACGCTGGTTGCCCTCTCCACTCCTGTTGGCACCAGCAGGATCTGGTAGCACCAGGAGAGGCTGTGAGACTGCTAGCAGCTAATTGACTCTCTTTTTCCACTGGGTGGTCCAAGGACTGCTATCTGGGTCTAATTCCAGCTCTTTTGCACTGCCTGACTCGCAGGTTTAGTCCTGGCTCTGTGTCTCAGTTTCTTCCATTCTGTAAATGGGAGATAAAGATATTCCCCTTATTTGTAACGTGTTTTGAGAGCTGCTTAAATGCCATCAGGGAGGGGCAGAACTGATTCCTGTGGCAGTCAACAGCAACAGTTTAATTTGTTTCTCTGGAAGCAGAGCTGGCCCAAAATGGGCCACTTTTGTCTATGTAATTTATTGCATTTGTCACCATGGTATCTGAGCTCTAAGAGTATTATCCAAATTCCACTGAATTCACTGAGTGTCTTTCCACTGCTTTCAATAAGTTTTGGATTTCACCCTAAAGTCACAAAAAAAAGAAACCCAAAACACCCAAACCCAAACCTGAGGAATATGTCAAAAGAATGTAAGTGGGTGTGAGTTGAAATTGAGGAGTTTGGAGACAGGAGTATGCAGAACAGTAGCTATTTAAAGACCAGGTTTGCTACTGAGTGTTCCCTTTTAATAGGGTTATATAAATACATTCCCGTCTCGATGCATGTGGAAAAACAGGCAGCGAGGTGAGACTCTATTGCTTTATTTCTTATGGGAAACACTGTGCACAGCTAAACCACCTCTTCCCCTTTCCTCAGCCACCACCCACAGTCCCTGGAAGCCTTCAGCAGCTGTGCACAGAGTGAAGAGGCACAGCCAGGAGCACAGAGAGTTAAAGAGTTCACAGCCCTGCCCTTAAAATAAAGCCCCTGTTTTCACTGCGTTCTCACTTCCCTTACAGACTTGATCTGAGCTTTGGCACTCAGCATGTCAGAATGGGAGGGGAGACTGGTTATGCCTTTTTATTATTATTATTATTATTATTTTACTGGTCTGCTCCCTTGCAAGGAAAAGGGAAGAGAAGAAAAATGTTCTTGCTTGGCTCTCTGCAAAGACCAAACGAGCTCCAGTGCAGCTGCCCCGGGCCAGGTGTGCCCCCACCAAAACCACAGCCCAAGGGGGCACCAGCTGGCATCTCAAGTCCCTTTCTCAGGACAAAAAGCCAGTGGCCAAAGAGGACTGTGAGATGAACCCTCTCTTTTTCACCAGTACCACTTGTACGGTGCACTGACCAATAGCTCAGTTCAGGAGATTCTGACACTACAACTTAAAAGAATCCTATTAAAATGATGGAAATCTTTGACTATGAAAAGTGGGGTCTGCACCTGGATAGTAATTATGTTTCAAAGGAAATACATCTGGTATTTTATTGCTTATTGTCTCCATGCACTTTATGTATAAGAACAATACAAGGGCTGGAATATTTCTTATCAGGAGACTTCCAAAAAGCTGTTTGCACTCTGTCAGGCCAATAAGCCACACAGATTTTTGCAATATTATATAAATTATGGCTAATAACTGGAACATACACTTTTTAAAAAACCTTCTTAAAAACACTGGTATGGATACTCCATCAAGAGGCAAACTCCATCAGACTCTGTGGAGCTCATATGCCCAAGAAACAGTTAAATCTTCGGTGTCTGGAAAGTTTTACAACTACAGCTAAAGTCAAGGGAAGCTTATTTTTGCCACCACCAGAGCCAGAGCAATGTGCTGCACTGAGGATTGAACCCTGTCTGCACATACAGGCTGGGGAGGGGGACACAGATGTCCCAGGGTGCAGCACAGGGCAGTTATGGGGAATCCTCTGGCCAGGTGAGAAGCAGCTCCAAGACAAAGACTCGTGTCCATGTGTTAATAACATCAGCCTTGAGCTGGGTTAGGCCTGTCCCTGTGCAAACAACCATTTTATATTACAAAGAGCACATTTTAAAAAGAAAACTATAAAGTCTACCAGAATTGGGTACCACCTTTAAAGATGCTGGGAATGCAACTACAGACTTAAAATAAAATTACATCCAGCCACAGCAACTTGATGACAAGGCAACCTCTCCTTCATTGCCAGCTCAAGTGATTTTGTTAATTCTAGTGAATATATCACAGCTCTCAAGATGACTGATGCTTTCATTACTGCCTTGGCTTCAGCCATTAGGTGATTGTTATGAATCTCAACTTTCATTTTTTTAAAGTTTTAGCTGTCACCATTCAAAGACATGGTATTAAAAATAAACAATGAAAACTTAGAAGTAAGAAAGAAGGGGAAATGTAAGGTAATCCCTATGGAAAAGCAGAAGATAAATTAAAAAATGGTATTATAGTAATTATTTCTTACCTATCTTGAACTTTTAGTGGTGATGTTTGATGGCTAGAGCAGAGGTTACTGGCTGGCTGACAGCAGCATGGTTACTGTAAATGAGACCCATGCAATAGAATCTGGCTATAATCTACATTTGCTCTAAATTTGTGCAGCCTCTAGTACAGAACCAGGAAACAGTCACAGATTTAATTTACTTTTCACTTCTGATGCTCTCTGCATGTTGTGGGGGATATGGTTTTGGCAAGGAGTTTGCATTTATTAGCACGTATAAATTTACCAGGAATGTTTGGTCTTGCTGTTAAAGCTCAGATCTAGAAGACAGGAATATGTCAGAAGCTGAGTGTCATTTTTAAAAGCAAGCTTCAAACCCATGTATTTTTGTTTAAATACTTCACAAGTAAACCAACTGCACCTAAAACAGTTGATAAGGCAGAAAGAAGACATGACCTGAAATATTCTTTTTAAAAACTTATTTAATTATTTCTGAGACTTGGAAACCTTATTCATGATTTCTATATATTTGGAATTGGAAATACTGCTGTTATCTGCTCGTTGTTGTTTCACATGCCATCACCCAGATGCGAGTACAGATTTCTTTCTCCCAAACCAAACTGGAGAGAGCAGATTTACTGAAACAACTTGCAGAGTCACACCTCAGCAGCTCAGGGTCAACAGAGGATGCTGGCACTCGGTCTCCTGCCCGCTCCTTCCACGTAAACACCACTGCAGGCACTGCAAGAGCGATCATCCCAGGGCACTGGGGTGTGTTTGGGATATTCAGGTAGGAGATTTTGCCAGGAACCACCCTGTGTGACCCTGGCTGACACGGACAAGCCCAAGCTCCACAGGAAAATGACATGCCAAGGATCTGGACCTTGACCTCCTCTGCTTGAACTCCCAGCTGTGACATGAAGGAAGCAGCATTGCTATGGCACAAACCACTGGCAGAGGTGTAATTAAAGTCACTCAGTCCAGAGCATCACAACAACCCACGGGGGAGCTGGTTTGGGCTCACCTGAGGACAGCTGGTGTGTCTGATGAGCAGTATGTCGTGCAGAGGTCCTGGCTCAGGAACTTGGGCCAAAATAGGGTGAAGAAGCTCTTACACTCTTCCACTTGTGAGGTGGCTCCTCCTCAGATCATCTCGGTAAGTCACTGCTGTGTATCACTGCCTGGAGAACAGCACCACAGCAACATCACACTGGAGAGAAAAAATTGCAACAGACAACGAAAATACTCTTATTTCTGAAATTTTCAAAAAGATATTCAGAAGTGTTACAGTTCAGAAAAGGCCTTTTATTCTTTCCTTAAGCAGGTATAAAAAACAAAAGAGATTTGGGTGGAAATCTGTGCCTAGCTCTGAACTGCTTCTTTATCTCTGCTTGCTTGGCTTTACTCCTCTTGCCAAGGAGATGAAGAGAACAATTTATTGTGGGGTCAGCCTCAACTTTCTGTTCCTGGCAGTTTATTTTGGATCAGATTCCTAAATTCACATACACAAACTCGAGCAACTCTTTACATCCACACATAACCTACCATGCTATTAAAGAGAAGAAGCCTCCTCTCAGCCTGAGGAGAACCTGCTGTCGGCAAACTCCTTCCCCTCTGAACCATAACCTTTGACTCCTCCTGTGGGGGGGAAGGGAGAAATGCAGTCAGGTGCAGAATTCCAATACGTCCCTCTGGGGTGACAGACATCCAATTTCCAAGCAACCATTAAAAAGTCCATATGGAATTCCATCTTTAATATGAAGCAGCAAGAAACAGGAAAACCCAAGGGCGAACACATGCTGTGTGTTACTCCTGCCTGGGGGCTTGGGCCAGCGTCTGAGCCTTTCCAGGTGCTCTCCTCTCCACAGAGCACGAGCTGTGGGAAGGTTCAGCACACTTGGGGTGCTCTTACACTTTATTATTATTATTTTAACTAAGAAACTGGCTGCTTGGTCCATTTGAGAAGGGTATGGCTTTGAGACAGATGTGGAAATATTCTGAAAACACAACGGTCAGGCAGTGGAACACATCCAGGATTATATGAAACATTAAGCGAGTGGAAAACATTTATTTTTCCCATCTCATATTCCACCACAAACTTGTATTTCACAAGCTTATCTTCATATCTGCATTATAACTGAACACTAATTGTGTTTTCCTCCATGTTTTTTCAGTAGATCAAAAATGTTCCAGTCTAGAGTCTCCACATTCATACCACAAGAAGTTGTTTTCTGCACCTCTGGCACCAGCTGAGCAGGCAGGAGCCAGTGTGCAGTGCCAGAGACACTGAGGGAGTGCAGGGACACGCTGCAGACCACGGGCCCCTGGAAATGAAGATGAAATGAGGCTCACTTGTGTGCAGCACATTGATAAGATTTTGGCCCCCATTTCAGCGTGACCCAATAGGTTTAAATTGCTTCATTTCTCAGCCAGCCAAGAGCAAATGGGTGGTAGATGTGATATGGCTGTTCACTGGAAATCACCCTTGATTGATTTACCTTCTCCTCCCCGGCAGTGCATGGGCTCAGTGTGAGGCTCAGGCACATAAATTACATAGAAAAGCCCTTTCGTGGTTGTGTATAGCCTGTACATGTTGTCACCCTATCAGAGGAGAAGCTTTTATGAAGTATTAGCTCTAAGTGTATACAGAACAGAAATGATCATTTTTATTTGCTTGACAAAAGTTAAGTCACATTTCCAAGTAATAATTTTGAGTTAGAATCAAGTAGAACCAAGTAACTTTGATCATTCCTTTTAAGTAAAAAAACAAACAAACAGAAAATTCTGCTGCTGGTTATAAAAACAACAGCAGAATTTTTAGGGGTTATTTTATTTGGTTTTTTAAAAACTAATAAGAGCTGTGAAATTCAAAAAAGAGTTTTCAGTTTTCATTAGCAAGATTTCAACACTTTGTGTTTGCTTTTGCCTTTTTGAAAGAAGATACAGACATTTCATTTTAACATGTTTGCAGAAAAAAAAAAAATTAATTGCTACCAGCACTACTACATTGTTATTTCTGGGGGATGAGTAACAATAGATTGGAAAATTATTCAGAAGAATCATTTGGGTGATTTATATACTTTATTGTGATTGGAACAAGGACCTCATTTCAGGCTGTAATACTCACAGTGCTGTCCACAGATGGGTGTAGTGTTGAGAACAGTCACTTGAACCCAAACTGAAAAGAACTGAGATAAAACCTGGGAATAAAGCTCCAAGCCAAGGGGTGGGTTTGTCTCGGGTTTGTACAGCACAGGGAGCAGGGTCCTGACTCCAGACTGCATTTCCCAAGGGACACAGCCCTGACAGCCCCACAAATACACAGCAGAAACTGGTCCCAGAGCAGGTCACTGGTCCCAGAGCAGGTCACTGGTCCCAGAGCAGGTCACTGGTCCCAGAGCAGGTCTCTGCTCCAGCCTGGCTGGAATGCACGGCACAATCTGGCTTTGGGGGAAGAGGCTTTGGGTGAGAACAAAAGGGAGGAAAGGATTTTACAGGCCTATGCTTAAGATTCATTAAAATCAGGCTTTAGATCAGGTAAATTTGGACAACCACGCAAGGTGAGATCTTTAGATTACCTCTTTTAGATTATCCTAGTTTTTAGGACACGCAGAGTCCACCCCTCTCTAAGTAATATGCCTCAAATATCTATGTAATGTGTCTCTCATTCCCATCCTTAAGCTCAAAACTTCAAAACTACCCCAAGTGAGACGACTTGTTTTTTTCCTTACCCAAGCCAGCTGAAGGCAATAGAGACCCCCCTCCCCACCAAGGTCAGTATAGATTTACAAGATTCAGATCTATTTTAACACTGTAATGTCCCTTCTGCTCTGAAATCAGCCATGGTTCTCTGGTTACTGTAAAGTAAACAGTGCATAACTGCTGGCTGCAGAAACCCTGGAGAAAGTCAGAACATGTGATAATTAACAGTTCCCAGCAAACTTCCACTCTTCATTTCAGTTTGGTGAAGAAGGGAAATTAATAAATTTTAAGCCTAAAATACCACTCGGCCCGTGCAATACAAACTCCTGCAGCATAAACACCACCCCTGCAGACCACTGCCAGAAATCCCTGCCACTCTCCCAGGATCCCAACCAACCAAAGGCATGGCCAGGCAAAGCACACCTGCCACGAACCTCAGCTCAGCACAGCCTGGTTACAGCCGGCAGGGACGATGGGGGGTCCCAGCTCCCTCCCCTTGTGCCCCTTCCCCCTGGTCCAGGCATTCTTCATCAGCTGGTAAAGCTCTCCCAGCCATCCAGCTGGATGACAGCAGGGACAGCAGGGGGGCTGGAGGAGGGAGTCAGGAGGGGCATAATGAATGAGACAACGGGGTGGGTTATGCCTCTCTGATTTCAATTAACCTCTGAACTTTGCAGTGCCAAGATCTCATGGTTACCAACTAACTTCAGCAAAAGCCAGCCCTGGTAACTGGTTCATGCCAGGGCTCAAACAGCCTAGAGTGGGGATTGGATGAGTCTCTTCTCAGATCACCTAATGCTCACTGAAACAAAAAGGAGTAACCGTGGATCTGATTATTGTATCAGAGCTTGAGTCTGATTTGTCCCTATTTTGAATAAAGTGCAGAATTCATTAATGGGAGGAGAACAAAGTCAAAAGACCCTGAGAAATATATTAATGGCATTAAGGACACAGGCATTCAAAGCTTGCAAAACAGATTAAAGTATACAGACAGATAAATAAAAAGAAATCTTTGTTCAGGAAAGACTGAGAGAAGCACAGAGCTGACATCAGAGAACAAACCAATCTAGCTATGTTAAGAATAGAACTTTCCATTATTTACTCATGTATTTTAGAGAACAATTTTTAGTTTTAAAATCAGCCCAGTTTTAGAGTTTCAATACAAGAGGTTCTATTAAAACCCTATGTGAACTACAAAGATTTCTAGTTTACAATAAAGCTACAATTAAAAATTAATATCAATCAGAAGAATGCAAATTTTTAAATAAACATATTTTGAATTATTCTACCTTTTAAATTCAGAAACTAGAGAGGCAAATCTGGGTTTTGCTGGCCTTCATTTTCAATATAATTTTTTCACTTCAAATTTTAACCATTTCTGTTTAGTAGATTTAAGCAGATTTAATTCTGCTATCACTTTTATAGAGCTGCTGTGGGTACAAGATAACTGTTACCACTTTGTGTATTGGCTTAAATGAATTTGTTCTTAATATTTAAGAAACTATAAATTAGAACCAAATCTGAATTTATGACAGCAGACCCTGCATTTTCATGTAGCTGCAGCTACAGCATCAGGTATGGGACACACTGAAGGGTGGAGAAACAAAACCAAAGGCTCCAAAGCAAAAAAATACCAGGAAATGTGATCAGACTCATAGCACTTCAATCAGATGTGCTATCCTACAAGTCATTTCAAGACAATTTGAAAACAAAATCAATGTTGCTGATACGGATAATAAACCTCTCTTTACAAATGCATTAATAAAAGTATCAGTTTGAAAAGGAAAAATGCAGTAAGATTATAAATTTATTAAACAAAATCCATTGACTGAACAGTGCAGGCTATTGTCAGCCACTTCTAGGACTTTGTTATGCAGTTCTTCATAGCTTAAATAGCACAATTAATCAAACTAATTGCAAGCCTGCAAATTCTTTATTCATAACAGTAAATAACTACATCTATTAAGTAACTTCTTTAACGTAAATCTCACTATTTAGGCTGATATTATCATGTGTTTTTCTTCTAATGGATTTAAAGTACCTGCAGTATATAAGAGCCAAAGTCAAAGCTTTTTTAAAGCAAAATATCCCACTTTTAATATTTAAGAAATTCCATTTAGACACTTGAAGATGCTCACGTTACAGCAGACTGTGGGAATGCCCTTCAGTTCCTTACACATTACCTGTCTAATAAAGCCTCATGTCCCAGTGACAGAAGCATCTGGCTCTTCTCTCCTAATCAATAAAATTCAGCAAAAGTCCCTTCTTCCAGCAGGAGCATAAATTATCAGATAAATGCAAATAGACTTGCTAATGTTAATTGCCAGGGCTGATTGGTGATTAATTTTTTGATTATGATCAATCATTCCACACGAATTTTAATAAGACATTCAAGGCAATCTGCAAATTGATAATAATTAGGGCTCCCAACTAGCAATGCACCCACAGCCAGCTCTAACACATCCCTGTGACTGTTCCTGGAACAACATGCTCCAGTCTGGGAAAGGGGGTGATCAAAACCTCCCCAGCATACCTAACAAAAGCTCCTTTTTCGCCATTTTAAGGTAAGATGGGTATGGTGTTCTCTAACACAACTGCTACCTTCTTTGTGTCCCTCATATGGTCAGAAATTAAGTAGGAGTTTCATTTACATGACAGTGCTTTGGGAACATCACCCCAACTTGCAGACTTCCAGCCATGAAAACAAGCCCAGGACCCCCAGAAAACCAACAGAGGAACATCTCTCAGATCAGTCCTGCCACACCTGCAGGGGGCATGGCCAGAGGCAAGATACAATTAGAATTCCAGGCCCTGCAAATCAAAAAAGGGCCAAACAGAAGGTTCATGTAATGCCTTTTTTTTCCCAAAGCAGAGCAGGCAAGAGCATTCAATCGCCAGCAACAAGAAAGGAATTTTTCCCTCTGGGACACTTGTTT